TTCGAATTTTTCTGTATCAGCGACATGTTTCTTCGGACCAGAAGAAATATACGAATCTTCAAACAAGACTTCTCTCTTGGTTTTATTTAGTTCGAAGTATATTTTACCGCCGACTGCTCTTAGACACAGTTCGCTGTATCGTGATGCTCGGAAGTCAGTTGTATGCTTGAGTTGTCTGGTATTTCGGCTCCATTTATTTATTTATTTATTTATTTATTTATTTGGTTATTTATAACCGCGGGTCGCAGTACGATGGATGTGTAAACTATGCTCGGCTGGCAGGTCAGTGCGTTACATATGTGGGAGGTGGGGAGGTGTCACTCCGTTGTTATCCCCAACCCGCCGCTTTCTGCGTCGTCGTACCAGCGTGTTTGCTTGACAAGTGAGTAAACGTATATGTGGGGAGCCAGTACCAGTGTTTGGTCGACAAATTATTACACGTATATGTGGGAGGTGGGGCCAGGTTAAAATACTGTATTAATATGTTTCTTTTATTATCATATTAATAGCATCATAAATCTTTAAAATCATAAGTATATATATAGAGAGTACGTTTAATACTAACGAAGTCGGGAGATAAACAAAGGCGAGCCGTTAAATTTATATAACATGTATGTGTAACATGTTACACAAGAGAAACCCCCAACAAAATTTTACAAGTATCAGTAAATAAGGTGTAACTTTATGATGCAGCAAATTTACACACACAACACAGGTCAAAAAATTCAATTCGTGAATTTAAGTACTATTTACACATTAGCTTTTATAGTCAAAACTGGCAGTAAGCACGACTTTCCAATATAATTATCATGTTCGTATCGTGTCCTTTAATATGTTCATGTTCTTTTAAAGTTCAAATAAATGAGTAAATTAACTGTATTAATATAGCTGAGAAACTGTTAATCCCTATATACTGTTTAGTCGCCTCTTGTACTTGTCCCGTAACACTCTTGTGACAATTACGATAAAATTCGTTCAATTAGCAACGTGAATTAGTGAATTTAAATTCAGACTTAATGTCATCGGATGTGGATTACGTGCCACCAGCTCTACACAGTGCTAAATAAGGATTTTGTGCTCGATTTTATTTCTGCATTTGTTAACTCAACCATATTGACATACGTGGAGCACATCATATATAATTCAAACCATTGAATAAAACTCGTATAGATGAAATAAGCGTTGAATTACGCTCTACTACGGTTTTAAATTACAACAGTTACTTTTTTCTTTCGTCTCCATATTTACAGTATAAGATTTTTGACTAACTAAATCTAATATTGACAAGTTTATTAAAAAAGAGTTTGAGTCTCTAAATTATAAGAAATGCACGGTGTTAATATTGTAAATTGACTTTATTTGTACCAACAT